TCTCGTAACCTATCTCAATGGGTATAAAGTTAAGTTAAGATATACTCTCATCAGGATGCTTCAATCATGGTTGAAATAAGGGTTTTTTTTTTTTTTTTTTTTTTTTTTTAATCTTGATTTTCGTATTTTCCACGAAAATTCCCTAAACATCTCAAAAGGGGTGTAGGGTCAAGGATTAGTTTGCAAATTGGGGTAATGTTACCCCCATCTAGGACCTTCGATCAAGGTCTATAAGGTTTTTTTTTTTTTTAATGGAAAAATCAGAAACATCTAATGATTATAAAGTCGGCGGATTAGTCTATAATATATGAGAATAATCATATGCATTTTAACCCTTCAGTCATAATCTAGATCGGGAATAACATACCGGATGGCACAACTTAACCTTCAATTAGGATAGAAAAAGAGAAAAATTATAGTGTTCAACAAGTCACTATTAAATGTGACCTCTTGTAAAGACATTGAAGAATAGATGGGTGGAGATATAGGGATATTCTCTAGTTTACTGTTTCAATAACATTAGTCGATGCGTTTTAATTATGACCCGATAACATTACTTATTCAATATCTAAAATATCTATATATTGATTTGAAACGTTATTGAGTTAATACCAAAATAAACCTAGAAAGAAGACAAATAAAAATAATATACATGTTAATAAACATTATTTATTCGTCTATTAGTAACTCAATAACATCTCTTATTCAATATCGAATATGTCTTACGTATTGATCTGACAAACGTTATCAATTCGAGACTAAAACTAACCAAATGAGAGATAAACAAAAAAAAAATATTACAATTTTAGTAACAATTTTAGTCAATACCTCTTATATTGACCGAATAACTTGTCGATTCAATACAAATATGTCACACCATATCGATCTAGCAAGATTACCGGTGGACGATTGCAAAAGACGACCTAATAGGGAGACAGAGTAAAGAGTATGAGACGGGTTTGTGGCTTTCAAGGGCCAAAGGGGCACATTATATGGTTGACACGTATTGACCTAGAGCTTTCACACAAACACGCGCATGGTGGTTGACACGGGCCAATCGGCCACCGGTTTGTCTGATGGGTTCCCCAACAACGTCGCTTCCGTCTAACGATACTGTGGTTTCCGTTCCCACTTGATTTGACCTTTACCCTTGTTCTCCGCCGTCTGATGTCCACAGGACTCATCCACGTTAATTATCATTATTGATCTGTGGGGCTCTGGTTTTTACATGACGAGACTTTCAGCATTGTTTCCGAGGCATGTGACTTTTTATGTTATTTTTTATATTTTAAATTAATTATCTGAAATATATAAAAATAACTGTACGTAAATAGGTTTTTTTTTTATAAAAATTCGTTACAAACTCGAGTTTGAAACTGAAGCTTCACCAAACCATATAATTTTTAAAACAAATTAACATGTAAAAATGATTAAACTTGATAATATGTAATTTTGAAATATTTTTTTGTTGAAAATAAGGGATGTAAGAAACGGGTTTAATTGAAATGAGTTGAATATTTCCAAAATAATTTTTGAAAATAATCGTAAAGTATATAATTAGAAAACTAAAAAAAATATTTTAATTCTTTTATAGCATTTAATTTCAAAATAGTTTTAATGTTATATTTTTTTAAAACGAATTAGGTTTATGAATATTATTGAAATGATATTATGGTATTTATTTATATTATTATTATTATTTTTTGGTAAGGAGGGGCAAAGCTAATTTGATTGATCAAAACTAATTAAAGTAGGCTATATATGGACAAAGTTTATTTTTTTATTAACCTAATTTTAAAGTGAATGTAAAATATTTGTAATAATATGAAAGCCCTGATATTGTCGCATTTGGTAATCATTCATATGTTTATTTAATATTTATATCACATTATTAATGTATTTATTTTCTTTCGACTCCCTTTGTGAAGCGGAGTTTTAAACTCCCCTTGTCAATATCTAATGATCTCACAATATAATGCATTTATTTTATTTCAATCTCCATTTGCAAAGTTGGGTTTGAAACTCCAAACTAGAAACCCTTGTCGAACCCTACAATCTTTAGGTGCTCATAAGAGAACTAAAGTCCTGATTTTATGAGAGTAAACCAATAGCCAACCGCTCAATGAGTACAATTAACCTATTCAATTTTAATTCAATAATTGAATATTGAAAATAACTCATCATTTTCATGACACATGCATACCAAGAATTGTCTAATAAAAATACCACAATTGTGGAAAACAATGCAGGAATAAGCCATAAAAGTGGTTTTCTACTTAAGGCTTAAGCTATGAGGAAAACATGATTTCACCTTGAAAAACATTTTCACTAAGCATTGACTTGCAAAATACGGAAAAATTTCCAATCACAAATGTCTATAACATTACCTTAAAATCTTTTTGTTTTTGCAAATTTAGGCACTCAAGAAAACAGTTGTGAGGGTGTACAAATCGATATGGTATTATCATAAGATTACTCTTTTTACTAAAACCGAAAAGAAAAATATTACAAATGGCATTTCTGTCGATATCCCCTTCTCAAAATATGTTTTTTTTTTTTTTTTTTGGGGGGACAGAACTGACTTCTGAGTTAAAAGTCTCGATTTTAAATCGATGAGTTTGGTTTGACTCACCTGTTTTAGTTTGTTCAGCTTCGTTCATCAATCTATTAACCAAAGCTTGTCGTACGACTCGTACATTGATCAGATGTGATTTGAACCTTTATGGACCTGACTAAACTATCCCAAATAGGGGTACCTCCTTGATATAGCTTCTTAGTTCAATGAACACTGGCGATCACAAGTCACCCCACACGTGCGAACTGACCGATAAGACTCGGGTAGCCGGGCAGCGGACAGCGTCCCGGCAAAGTATGGGGGCAAGTGGGTCATAAGAAATAATTGAGCAATTAAAAATAAAAAAACAAAAAACAAATATTTTTAATTTTTTAAAAAATAAAAAAATAAAAACCTTCTCTCAATTAAGCTAACTAAGCAAAAGGCTCTGGCACCATCTGCCCCACGTGCGGTTCCACAGTCACGTGGACCCCACTCTCTTCAGATAAAGACGCGAAAGCGACAAAGAAACAAAGCGACGGTCCTGATTCCATCATTTAGTGGTTTAATAAAATACTCTCACATATTAGATTTTATTTTTTTACTTCAAGCCGAGATCTACGCGCCGGGTTTAATTATTTATTTTTAGAAAAAAAAAAAATATTAACTCACATATTCCAATCCTGGTCAAGCTCCGCCTTTTACGAGTCCCGAATCGACACGCGCTGTAATTTTTATATGCTAAAAAATAATTATTATTATATAAAGTTGAGTTTTATGATTTTAGAATTTTTTATATTTTAATAACGTTAGGATCAATTTCATCAACCTTCGAGAGAATGATTGGTGCCTGCCATTTAGACTTTAGAGACTTGCTAACAATTCTTATTTCCTATATATAATTTATATGCTAATGCCAATTGAAGAACTTGAATTTTTAACTGCTTGTGTGAAGCATTTGTTGATTTGGCTGACTGCTAATAGAACTGACAGAAACAATATAGGGTTATGATTCTCTCTAGGTTTCCATTGGATCCTATTTTCTTGACAATTTTGGTGATCAAGTCGAGGTTTGATGTTTAGTTCATTAATGTAAAACCTGAGTCAAAATCTAGGAGAAACTAAACAATATAGTTTATTGGATATGTTGATGCGCAATTTTTACACTAATTAAACGCACGTGTGAAATATTGAGTTGGCCCAGAAGATACACGTGAATATAAAGAATAATGAGAGTAAATGCAATGAGACAAACATTTTTAAAGTGGTTCGGATGCTAAAGAAGCAAGTCCTATGTCCACTGTTATATTATTAATAATAGAGGTCAGGTCGCATGAGTTGACTGACTTACAAATGATGGTACAAGAAAGAGAAAGCTTTCGTATTACAGAGAGAATAGCTAATCAAGAGTGAAATGTGCGAATCCCTTGAATGTGAGAGGAGTTCTCAATTTATAGTGAGATGGATTAAGACAATCATCACTGAATCTGTGAGTTGGTGGGATTATCCGTGCAAATCCTCCTTTATGTCACATTGCCCACCTTCTCTAGTGATTTGCGCGATTTGGAGCAAGGATTGAACACGTGGGATCATCACAGCTCTTGGCTGGCCTGACGCGCGTCCACTATTCTGACAGAAGTAGGCTGCGGGTGTACCCATGCTCTAACTGTTACAGGCTGACTGGACCTTACGTCAATCCTATATTTTTCGGGCATAACAGGATACATGGAAGGAAAAGTGTTGAAATGAAAGTTCGATTAAGGTTTTGCTAAGAAATGCAGATGAGGGTTCACTGCTGTTACCATTGCTAGAATGCTCACAAGGAAAAATATGATATAAGACGAAACTGGCTGTTGAATTTGGTTGAAAAGTTTGGCTTGAAGCTTCCATTGTTTATTGTAAATTTTTACTTAGATGCTGTGGACTAACACTAAATCTTCCATTCCTTTTCGTAGAATACCTATAATGTCTAGAAGAATAATCATGTGAGTTTAGATGCTGAAATAGATGAGTATAAAGATAAGGAAATCAGGGGTGAGCACGGGTAGTAGGTAGAATCGGAATCAGAACCGGAACCTACTCGGAACCGGTACTGTGCGGGTAGGTTCCGGTTCCAATTTTTTGGAACCGATATTGTGCGGTTTCGGTTCTGGTTCTTGTGTGTGGAGGAACCGGAACCTGTAAAAAGGTTACTCTGTTTGGAACCTGTAGGGGGTACCCGGTTTGGAACCGATTTTTTGAACCTGCTTTGGAACCTGTTTTGGAACTTGTTTTGGAACCTGTTTGTAACCTATTTTAGAACCTGGATTACAATGAAATATTTGTGAAATGTGAATAATGGAGGGTTTCTATTATTTTACATATAAAAAAATTTAAAATAGAAAAAGTTAAATTTTTAGAATAACCTAATTAAATAAATATACGAATACAATTATACTTATTACANAATAAGTTCAGTTTTGATATTGTTCATGCAATCTCACCTTGTGAAAAGCTCACTTTCTTGAACATTTCAAGCAACCAATTTGGAGGTCAATTTCCTGTGCTTTCTTCGGCTGCAAATTTGCAGTATCTCCTCCTGGGAAACAATCTTTTTCAAGGAGAGATTCCTCTGCAACTAGCTGATTATTGTTCAAGTCTTGTCAAGATCGATCTTTCTTCGAATAATTTGTCGGGTACGGTTCCCAGTAGCTTCAGTTCTTGCTCTTCATTGGCCTCTCTTGATATTTCTAATAACAAATTCTCAGGTGAATTGCCTGTTGACACTTTCTTGCAAATGAGTAGCTTGAAGGAGCTTGTTTTATCCTTTAATGAATTCACTGGTGTTCTTCCCGATTCTTTGTCAAAATTCACCAATTTGGAGACTTTAGATCTGAGTTCAAATAATTTCTCAGGTTTAATCCCGGCTAATTTGTGTCAGGATCCTGGAAACTCCTTGAAAGAGCTGTATCTTGCTAACAATTTACTTGCTGGTTCCATTCCTCCAACTCTTAGTAACTGTTCACAGCTTGTTTCACTCCATTTGAGCTTCAATTTTCTCTCTGGAACTATCCCTTCTAGCTTGGGGGCTCTGTCCAAGCTTCAGGATTTGAAGCTGTGGTTGAATAATCTCCATGGGGAGATCCCACAGGAACTTGGTAACATTCAAACATTGCGGACATTGATTCTTGACTTCAACCAGTTGTCGGGACCAGTGCCTTCTGGTTTAAGCAACTGCACCAATTTGACTTGGATCTCATTGTCGAATAACCAGCTGAGTGGTGAGATTCCTCGGTGGATTGGCAAGCTTTCGAACCTCGCGATTCTCAAGCTCAGTAACAACTCCTTTTATGGTAACATCCCGCCAGAGCTCGGTGATTGTAGGAGCTTGATTTGGTTGGATCTTAATACCAATAACTTAAGTGGATCCATCCCTCCTGCATTGTTCAAACAATCTGGTAAAATAGCGGTGAATTTCATCGCGGGGAAGAAATATGTGTACATTAAGAATGATGGTAGTAAAGAGTGCCATGGAGCAGGAAATTTGCTTGAGTTTGCAGGAGTTAGACAGGAGCAGTTGAACAGAATTTCAATCAGGAATCCCTGTAATTTCACTAGAGTGTATAAAGGTCTCACCCAGCCCACATTTAACAACAATGGATCGATGATGTTTTTTGATATTTCATACAATATGTTGTCAGGAACCATTCCGGTGGAGATTGGGAGCATGTCAAATCTCTATATCTTGAATTTGGGGCACAACTCTTTTTCGGGTACTATTCCATCAGAGCTTGGAGGGTTAACGCTTCTTAACATTCTTGACCTGTCGAGCAATAATCTTGAAGGGACAATTCCGACATCAATGAGTTCTCTTAGCTTTCTTGCAGAGGGTGATCTGTCGAACAACCATCTCACTGGAATGATTCCTGAAGGTGGACAGCTTGAAACTTTTCCACCTACGAAGTTTGTCAACAATTCAGGCCTTTGTGGATTGCCTCTTCCCCCATGTGGGAAAGATGCAGCGTCAAGTGCAAATTCTCAGCATAAGAAGTCTGATAGGAGACCGGCTGCTCTTGTGCGGAGCATTGCAATGGGATTGTTGTTCTCCCTCTTCTGCATCTTCGGTTTGATCATAGTTGGTGTGGAAATGAAGAAAAGGAGGAAAAAGAAAGATTCAACTCTTGATGTTTATATCGACAGTCGTTCACATTCTGGCACTGCAAACACCAGTTGGAAGCTAACTGGAGCTCGCGAAGCATTAAGCATTAACCTTGCTACATTTGAGAAGCCCCTAAGAAAGCTCACCTTTGCAGATCTTCTTGAAGCCACCAATGGCTTCCACAATGACAGTCTTATCGGCTCTGGTGGTTTTGGTGATGTCTACAAGGCTCAACTGAAAGATGGAAGCATTGTAGCTATCAAGAAACTAATACATATCAGTGGACAAGGTGATCGCGAATTCACAGCTGAGATGGAAACCATTGGGAAAATCAAGCACCGGAACCTTGTACCTCTCTTGGGCTATTGCAAGGTAGGGGAAGAGCGGCTTCTGGTTTATGAGTACATGAGGTATGGAAGTTTAGAAGATGTTTTACATGATAAGAAGAGAGCTGGGATCAAGCTAAACTGGGCTGCAAGGAGGAAAATTGCAATTGGAGCTGCAAGAGGGTTAGCTTTTCTTCACCACAATTGCCTCCCACACATTATACACAGGGACATGAAATCGAGTAATGTCTTACTCGATGAACACCTTGAAGCAAGAGTGTCCGATTTTGGAATGGCTAGACTTATGAGTGCAATGGATACACATCTGAGCGTCAGCACGCTAGCTGGCACACCCGGTTATGTCCCTCCCGAGTACTACCAAAGCTTTAGATGTTCAACCAAAGGAGATGTTTACAGTTATGGCGTAGTTTTGCTCGAGTTGTTAACAGGAAAAAGGCCAACAGATTCAGCAGATTTTGGTGACAATAACCTTGTCGGGTGGGTGAAGCAGCACGCGAAACTCAAAATAAGCGATGTTTTTGATCCAGAACTCATGAAAGAAGATTCAAGCCTAGAGATTGAGCTTCTGCAACACTTGCGTGTAGCGTGTGCATGCTTAGACGACCGATCATGGAGACGACCAACAATGATTCAGGTTATGGCAATGTTCAAGGAGATTCAAGCCGGTTCTGGGCTTGACTCACAATCCACCATTGCCACTGATGATGGAGGTTTCAGTACAGTCGAAATGGTTGATATGACCATAAGCGAAGCCCCCGAACTAAGCAACAAGGCATAGAACAACAAACCACATTCGAACGAATGCGATTCGAGCAGTTTTCAACTAGAATTCTTTGAAACCAAGAAAGAGGGTGGTATGGTAATGGTTCCATTCAGCTGCCTAAAAAATTTTCCCTCTTCTTTCCCACTTGAAAAAAAAACTCAAAAATGTGGCATGAAAATTTGCCTTTGTATCTCTACCAGTTTAATGTATGTATCTCTTGTATCCCTTTTAAAATTCTTGTTATTTATACATAAAAGGTTGTTTAACTTCGTTATAAAATGTGTAAATATACAATGCCAATTTGTTTTCCTAAGTTGGTTTCTTGATTAGATTTTGATTTGTGACTTTTTTAAGTGATTGATTGTGACCAAGTCGGGAGTTGTTTTGGCCCTTTCTTCTGCATAATTTGTTCTCATTCATTCTCTCTTTGTTCCTTCGTCGGCATATGCCAAAAAAAACTCTATGCATTTATGCAACTCTTGCATACACTTCATATTTATTAAGGACATGAGCCTCCATTTCTTCAAAATGTCCTTAAAGGTGTTCTCTATGGGCCTCTTAGTGGGGTAAATAAAAGAGGTCCTCTGTATAATTTGTTTTCTCATTCATTCTCTGGTTCTTCGAATTTCTGCTTTGGTTCACTCTCTGTATATAGCGTAAAATCAAATACACGTTGAGGACGGAAGCTTTGATTTCTTTAAAATGGGCCTTAAAGGTGTTCTAGAAATTGATGTAAAATCAGAAAATGAAAACAATTTTGAATATTATATCAAATTCATCAATAAAGATTGGTCATAGTTCAGACCTAATCTCACAATACTTTTTCACAATCTGACTGACAGCTCGTAATTGATGAATTCGTAATTGAATAGGTGAGTTCATAGCAAGGAGTGGGATCTATTTACGAGTTGATCAATTGTGAATTACTACGTCGAGATTGTAAAGAAAATTTGTGAGATTGGGTTATAAGTGTAGTATTGCCGAATAATATCTTACTGACAATAAACAAAGAGTGAATGAAAATGTGAAAAACCACATTAAGGTTGGACCATGACTAAACTATCAATAATTAAAAGTCTTAATCTCATAATGGTGGGTTTAACCAAACAAATACAAAATTGGTAGGATAATGGGTGAAAAGATATAGAAAAATCTTTCCAAACTGTCTCTTATTATAGACAAAGTGCACAATACATGCTCTTTAGTGACCCAAATGAGATTAATAATTATCTCAATTTATCTTGGAAATTGGGTTGTGTGCCTTCTCCTTTTATACTTCATCTAACATTCCAACTCTCAACAATATTATGTTCAAAAATTCTTGGGTTCATGGTTTTGTTTCCGACTTGTTTTTCTAAGCACAAAATTTTACTTGTGAGCTTTATGACCCTTTAATTGCATAACTTCAGGTGTATCGAGTCGTATCTTTATAGACGTGTTATTTCATCAAGTCATTCTATGAGAAAATCGCTAGATTTATAGGGGCTTCAGTCACCGACTTCCTTGATCTTTCGGTGTTAGGTGAATGGTTCAGTTTAGTTCGATTTATCTATGATGTTTATATGTGTAAATTAGAAAAGTTGGAACAATTTTTAGGGCTCATTTACTTACAAATAAAAAATTAAAGTTGAATTGTTGAAATATGGACTAAAGCAAAGCACTGACTTTAAATAAAGCTTGCTACTTTTCACTAAAATTAGGGGAAAAAATAAAGTTTTAATATTTGGATGCTTTTAGAAATATCTTCTGCTTTATTTCCTTGAAGAAAGGGTTAAAATAAATTGCTGAATCGTTTGAAACTTATGATCTTGAAGACAATTCTTTAAGAAAAATATAAGCCAATTAAATAAATTTGTTAAAATAGAATCTTGTTATTAGATATTTTTAAAATCAAATCTTAACACATTAATTTTGGTGATTTCAATGAAATAAATGATTTATGTATTAAAAATCAACCCCCATTTATAAGCTTATAGATTATCAATTCAAACAAGATAATAGATTAGATTCCAACATAAAATAATATTAAACTGAATTAATTTTTTTTATTAAAAATTAATTATTCACAATCCGCCAAAATATTATAATATGATAGTCAATCCACTCACTAGTTCCATCCATGCATGAATCCAGATCCCAAGAAAGGAATTAGGTTTTAATTAAATTAAATCAAATTTGATTTAATTAATATAATTTAAACCCTATCAGATTGTACAATGTCACACTTAGGCCTTAGCTGTCTCCTAATTAAATTATTAATCAATTAATTGTAATTAGCAATAGATTAAATTTTAATTAAACTTGTTTTCTTTTGTTTCATAGCATGGATTACAGCTTTTTTCAAGTTGTGATCAAATTAAATTATAAATTAATAAAATTTTGCAGAGGCTGTCGAAAGTACAACACCTAATTAATATAATTAATTTAAATAAATTAATATGTCTTCTTTAATTTGTGATTAGTACGGAGTTTCCACTACTGTAAGGTATTTTGTAATATATTAAATTGTACAAAATTTTAGAACTATTTATTAAATATGAAAGAAAACAAAAATGTACTTAAAATATTTTAATTTTTTTTTGAGTAATTAGAAAATTTTCGGAACCAAAATTATGCAGATATAGGGTATCATTACACCCCATATGGAACCTCCAATCATGGTTGATGGAATTTTTATTTTTTGGTATGAGAAAAACCTCATTCATATTTTAACGAAGTATAAGGTCGAGGGATTAGTCTGTAGTTGAGAAATGTTAATTTGCGTTTAGACTGTTGCTATAGTTTAGGTGACGATGCTTTTGTAATGAGAAAATTCTCGTAACCTATCTCAATGGGTATAAGTTAAGTTAAGATATACTCTCATCAGGATGCTCAATCATGGTTGAAATAAGGGTTTTTTTTTTTTTTTTTTTTTTTTTTAATCTTGATTTTCGTATTTTCCACGAAAATTCCCTAAACATCTCAAAAGGGGTGTAGGGTCAAGGATTAGTTTGCAAATTGGGGTAATGTTACCCCCATCTAGGACCTTCGACAAGGTCTATAAGGTTTTTTTTTTTTTTAATGGAAAAATCAGAAACTCTAATGATTATAAAGTCGGCGGATAGTCTATAATATATGAAATAATCATATGCATTTTAACCCTTCAGTCATAATCTAGATCGGGAATAACATACCGGATGGCACAACTTAACTTCAATTAGGATAGAAAAAAGAAAAATTATAAGTGTTCAACAAGTCACTATTAAATGTGACCTCTTGTAAAGACATTGAAGAATAGATGGGTGGAGATATAGGGATATTCTCTAGTTTACTGTTTCAATAACATTAGTCGATGCGTTTTAATTATGACCCGATACATTACTTATTCAATATCTAAAATATCTATATATTGATTTGAAACGTTATGATTAATACCAAAATAAACCTAGAAAGAAGACAAATAAAAATAATATACATGTTAATCAACATTATTTATTCGTCTATTAGTAACTCAATAACATCTCTTATTCAATATCGAATATGTCTTACGTATTGATCTGACAAAGTTATCAATCGAGACTAAAACTAACCAAATGAGAGATAAACAAAAAAAAAATATTACAATTTTAGTAACAATTTTAGTCAATACTCTTATATGACCGAATAACTTGTCGATTCAATATCAAATATGTCACACCATATCGATTAGCAAGATTACCGGGTGGAACGATTGCAAAAGACGACCTAATAGGGAGACAGAGTAAAGAGTATGAGACGGGTTGTGGCTTTCAAGGGCCAAAGGGGCACCATATATGGTTGACAAGTATTGACCTAGAGCTTCACACAAACACGCGATGGTGGTTGACAGCGGGCCAATCGGCCACCTGGTTTTGTCTGATGGGTTCCCCAACAACGTCGCTTCCGTCTAACGATACTGTGGCTTTCCGTTCCCACTTGATTTGACCTTTACCCTTGTTCTCCGCCGTCTGATGTCCACGGACTCATCACCGTTAATTTCATTATTGATCTGTGGGGCTCTGGTTTTTACATGACGAGACTTTCAGCATTGTTTCCGAGGCATGTGACTTTTATGTTATTTTTTATATTTTAAATTAATTATCTGAAATATATAAAAATAACTGTACGTAAATAGTTTTTTTTATTTTATAAAAATTCGTTACAAACTCGAGTTTGAAACTGAAGCTTCACCAAACCATATAATTTTTAAAACAAATTAACATGTAAAAATGATTAAACTTGATAATATGTAATTTTGAAATATTTTTTTGTTGAAAATAAGGGATGTAAGAAACGGGTTTAATTGAAATGAGTTGAATATTTCCAAAATAATTTGAAAATAATCGAAAGTATATAATTAGAAAACTAAAAAAAATATTTAATTCTTTTATAGCATTAATTTCAAAATAGTTTTAAATGTTATATTTTTTTAAAACGAATTAGGTTTATGAATATTATTGAAATGATATTATGGTATTTATTTATATTATTATTATTATTTTTTGGTAAAGGAGGGGCAAAGCTAATTTGATTGATCAAAACTAATTAAAGTAGGCTATATATGGACAAAGTTTATTTTTTTATTAACTCTTAATTTTAAAGTGAATGCTAAAATATTTGTAATAATATGAAAGCCCTGAATATTGTCGCATTTGGTTAATCATTCATATGTTTATTTAATATTATTCACATTATTAATGTATTTATTTTCTTTCGACTCCCTTTGTGAAGCGGAGTTTTAAACTCCCCTTGTCAATATCTAATGATCTCACAATATAATGCATTTATTTTATTTCAATCCCATTTGCAAAGTTGGGTTTGAAACTCCAAACTAGAACCCTTGTCGAACACCTACAATCTTTAGGTGTCATAAGAGAACTAAAGTCCTGATTTTATGAGAGTAAACCAATAGCCAACGCTCAATAGAGTACAATTAACCTATTCAATTTTAATTCAAATAATTGAAATATTGAAAATAACTCATCATTTTCATGACACATGCATACCAAGAATTGTCTAATAAAAAACCACAATTGTGGAAAACAATGCAGGAATAAGCCATAAAAGTGGTTTTCTACTTAAGGCTTAAGCTATGAGGAAAACATGATTTCACCTTGAAAAACATTTTCACTAAGCTATGACTTGCAAAATACGGAAAAATTTCCATCACAAATGTCTATAACATTACCTTAAAATCTTTTTGTTTTTGCAAATTTAGGCACTCAAGAAAAACATGTTTGGAGGGTGTACAAATCGATATGGTATTATCATAGATTACTCTTTTTACTAAAACCGAA